CCGAGGTCACACCCGTGTTCCAAATTCAACATGCAAGGGTGAGACCCGCGTCTCAAGTTCAAAACGTAGGGATACACACCAACATTCCAGAAGCAGGATTATGGCGCATACCTTTACACAGGTCCTACATGATAAATCCCTTCAACCAAGATGCCTTCGAAGCGAGTGCAGAGAACGACTCCTTTACGACAAGGAATCAACAGCTCTAAGATCAGAGTGAAGATCCAAAGTATTCCGAAAATTCGTCCCAGTCAACCGCGAACTTTCGAAAACCTTGGAGGGGGTTCTGTATGAATCAACATCGAGAGTTACAATCTGACGACTCTCATATTCTCAAGGAGCCAAGACGAAGATTACAAGACAATGATCTTTGCAACGCCATGACAAAAGAGATTACTTGGTGATAATCTCTGCAAGGCAAGACGCGGAGGTCCTCCCCGTGTTTCAACATCAAAACGCCAGGGTCGAACCCCGCGTTTCAACATCAAAACGCCAAGGTCCTCCCCGCGTTTCAAACATCAAAACGCCAGGGTCGAACCTCGCGTTTCAAACATCAAAACGCCAGGGTCGAACCTCGCGTTTCAACATCAAAACGCCAGGGTCGAACCTCGCGTTTCAACATCAAAACGCCAGGGTCGAACCTCGCGTTTCAACATCAAAACGCTGGAGTCGGACCCGCGTTACAACAAGCCAAAACGCGAGTGACCCTCGCGTTCATTGGTGTTCAGCCAACACCCAACCTCGCGTCTCAATTCAAAGACGCGAGGTTAGGGTCCTGAACGCCAACGTTGGTTAAAACGCCAGGGTCGAAACCCGCGTCACAACATCAAAACGCCAGGGTCGAACCCCGCGTTACAACATCAAAATGCCAGGGTCGAACCCGCGTTACAACAAGCCAAAACGCGAGTGACCCTCGCGTTCATTGGTGTTCAGCCAACACCCAACCTCGCGTCTCAATTCAAAGACGCGAGGTTAGGGTCCTGAACGCCAACGTTGGCGTTTGACTCATTCAACATGAGTTGAACGGTTCTAAAACCGTTTCACACGATTTGAGGGCGGTTACACCCCACTTAGGAGAGATTTACTGAAGATCAATTCAGTTCAGGCCTCCCTTTTTCGGTTGGATTTTCTGGGCTTGGATCGACCACTGGAGAGAGGTTTTTTTGAGGAGATCGGCATCATCTTCCAACGAAGATCATCTTCAACTTCAGCAACAGGGAGCCTCTGTCCTTGGCTTATAACCGATCTTCGGTTCAAATCAACTCTTTTACAGAGTTCTTCTAAACTCGTTCTGAGTTCTCAAACTTGCCACGCAAGTTCTCCACAACGTCAAATCGTGAGGAGAAGACATCGTTCCAGTGAATCAAGACGTGCGGATCGTCAACGGAGAGCAAACTCGATGCAAGCATTCGGGGGAGGCACTCCATCGCCACCGTGAAGAACCCAGTTTTAAACAAAGAGGAAGAACCAATTTCGTTTTCCTCTCTTTTGTAATCAAGTTGTAACCGAGATCAAAGGAATCAAAATCAAATTTTCTTTATTCTCTTCTTTGCAATTTTCCCTGCATACAGTATGGTATTATTTGAGGATATCATGATTTAGTGGGAGTTTGTAATTTAGGGTGCTTTATGTTTGGTTATATTGTCTGATCAGAATAAGGTATTCAGTTAAGACACTCTGCTACATTATGTTTGGTTTTGACCTCACTAAAGTTTAAGATAGGACCAGTTGAAAATAGACATGTACTGATCACATTGCATGTAATTTTCATGCTGCATATCCATGATTGATCTATGTCGTTTAATTGTATTGGTATATGTGACCATTGATGGGCCGAGTTACGATAAATGTGACGAAGGCCGCTTTGATCCTATATTGATATAGTCAATGGACGAGATTGTTCGGAAATACATTTTCAGTGATGGTAATTTTGAGCTCATAAGGTTATACACAATTTAAGGAATCATATGGTGCCCAAGTGGGAGATTGTTGAATTTAAATTTAATCAAATCTATTTGTGGGCACATATGATTAATTATTGTGTATTGCTATCCTTAAGGATAACCCACTTAAAGTGATCAATTAATTTGGGTTAATGAGTATTTAAATAAATCATGGGCTAAATGTGTAGATACCTTGTTGTAATTGTAATTTGATGAGGGGTCAAATTACAAATGTACAATACATATATATATAGGGTTATGGTCCCTAATCTAGGGTTAGACACTCACATTCTCTAATCCCCATCTAAAGAGATCCATAAGCGAGAAACCCTAAGATTAGAAGATCTAAAACCCATTTCAAATCCAAGCAATGGATTCAGGTATAAGCTTTTGCTCTTGATGTTTAATCTTTATGATTTAATCACGTTTAATTCCTACCCGAAAAAAGAAAAAACACGCGCACACACACACCCAACCCCCAAACTTTAAGCATCTCACACTGGATCCCTTTAATTGTAGTTTGCAAATAGTTAAAATTTCCGAGGGAGCATGGTGTTCTCTCAAAGAAATTTTAGTTATTTATCAATTACAAGTAAGGGGGTCCGGTGAGAAAAGCTTAAAGTTCCAGGGTTGTGGAACGGAGTTGAGGGGAGTTTTTGAGATGAAAAAAGAGTTCAAGGGGTTATAGCAAAAACCATCAAAGTTCCCGGGATAATGTAAGACTAATCCTTTTCCTTTCCTATGATCCACAAACAGCTAGCTAATGCACCAGATAACAAGTTTCCTGAGCAAACGACATGTAAGAAGTTAAAACTAAGACATGCCGGTAAATTATCGGATCAAAGAAGATCATCATAGGCGTGTTGGGCTCTACTTTAGCAATCCAAATTAACAAACTCAAAATTGCCCATAGAAAGTATTTTTGCATCAATATTTTAAAAGGTAAAGAACGTATATAAAGCTTTACGTCAGTGAATAGTATGCACATATCTAATGATTGCTACTTAGGCTTCGCTCACAATCTTTCAGTGTGGCAACAGTTGGCGTGTGTCTTGACCCTTTGCCTACAAAATTGTGCGGTAACGATCAGAAGGATTCCTAGTTTACGAGGCTTTGACCTGAGTAAATAACATGGATTAGTTCGACTATCTAGTTTTTGTTATTTTATATAGCATATCAACAGTTGGATCTGTCTTCTGGTGCAGGTTCGGACATGGATAATCAGTAGGATTATTTGAATCCGGCAGGCGAAGTATACAAAGTTATGGCCAACCTGATTGTTCAGTGGTTAGGCTGATAACCGCTGATTGAACCCATTTCCACCCACCTTTGCAGGTCCTCTTAAACTTTGCTTTCTCTTTATGTGCTTCAGGACTAGTGGATTTGACTAAGGGGTTACATATACTAAATTACCTCAGATCAGCAAATAGACAAAATTTGGAGAGTAATGCGAAAAGCATAAATCCAGCAAGCACAAATTGTAAGCAGAATAATTAGTTTACAGAAAGCTCAAGGCATAGGGAGCTCATTGATGCCAATATCAGATAACAAAGCCCAGACGTGGGTAATGAACTGACCATCCTTGCATAGACTGTCTCTATGAGCCTCGACATTATCTGATGGAGCCATGTACAGTAACATCTCTGTCCATAAATCAGCCAGCACTTTCCAACGCCGTGACTCATCAATCTCTGTTATCAGTTTCTCTCCAAGTTCTTTACCCATCTCAACAAATCGAAGCGCCTGTTCTAATTCACCATCATCTTCTGAAACCACAATGTCCCTTCTGAAAATCATACAATCCCAGCAGAAATAGCAGCCTCCGATACGAGAAATGTCATGATTACGAAAACATACTTGTCTTATCACTCTTTGAACGACAAGCTTTGTCCATTCAGTCTCCTCCGGTATCAATTCTGGAACCGACGTGACTAAGTAAGCGCAATATCTTGATAAGCCGGAAGCAACATTGATATCAACAGAACAGAATTCACTTTGCTGGGCTTGAGCCTCACAGTGACTTGTGGCTATGTGCCAAACCAGTATCCTCTCAGTGTGACTCTCCAGCCCACATGCATTATGAATTTCTGAATCATAGATGCCATTTTGATTTAGCGATGTTCTACCGCTGTTGAGCTGGCCTTTGTTTTCTTTTAGGGATCTAACAATGGCTTCCTTCACTACATCAGGAACTTCGATAAAGCTCTCAACCCTTTTGAGGAATGAGTGCTGGTTCAAGCCATTATAGTTGCCCCACGAGTATTTGGATTTGGAGAAGCTTACGAGATTAAAGAGATGTCTAACAGCAGAACTCCTCGGCCGGGATCCTCGCTGACATATTGCAGTTACTTTTCTCCACTTGGAAACTAGATAGTTTATAAGCTCATAAACATCCCTTGACAGTAGAAAAAATAGAATAATTAAGCAGAGGCTTTCCTCAAGAACAAACAATGTTTCCGCCTTCTCTATTGGTAAAGTTTGATAATAGATAGTTTGGGAAGATATAGGTCGGGAAATTTCAATGATAAGTAGAACGATCAAGCCGTAGTAACACAAAACGAGGACAACTGAGAGACCAATAAAGAACAAACCGTTACCTAAAGGGATTGTGGAGAAAAAGTACTCTTGGAGGAAAGAAAGCTGTACTTCTACAATATTGAAGGCAAATTTATGATCTTTGAACGGCCCATGAAGAAGTAGCCTGAGAGCTCTCTGAGATCCAGATTCTGTCAATGGAATTCCCTCGAACTTCCTTCTCAGCAGCTTGAACAGAGCGAATGAGAGGCACAACTCCTTGTTTTCTTGGTCTTGAGGTTCTTCACCGTTCCAAGCCCACACTTTATCAAGCGTAATGAGTTGAGATTCATCAGTTACTGTAATGTTGTATCCTTTTTCTCGGCATGGCTCTATCCTCTGCTTCTCTTCTCCCATAACCAAGTATTTGTACCCCGACATGAACTCTGTTGGTGTTTCTGCATATTCAATTTCTGTTACCTGCGGAGAATCGTCAAGACCTAAATATTGATTCATATAGCTGGCAACAAGCTTTGCATTTTTCTCCGTTGCAAAGGACTGGGACCCTTTCTTTACAGCTACATACCTGGCAATATCCTTAAAAACTTGCAGCCCCAGTAAGCAACATGCTGACAATTTGAGTTTCCAGGGCAAGCTGTTGCTAGTGTTGAGAACAAACAGGACCCAACATTTATTGGTAATTTGTTGGATGGGAAAACTTTTACTATTTTCGAGATCATTATGGATCATTGAAACACCGCTATCTTTGGTGGGATCGATAGTACTCGCATACAACTGACGCAGGAATATAAGCGACAAAATGAAGAACGGCGAAGCGCCAGCCTGCGCACCATCGCCCATAGCCGAAACATATGTGATGAAGGGAACGGACAATATTGATATTGCATTACGAACAAATTTGGTCGTAAAGATGTTGAAATTAGTATAGAAGATATACAAGCGAGAGATCCTGGAGCACCAGCCGTACGAATTTCTGTTGAAAATTATTGTAGGGATGAGCAAAGGCAAGGATACGATGGACTCGTTGTGAGTGGTAAAGAGCCAGGACTCTCTAAAGTAATTAACGGGCCTCGTAGGCATGAGAAAGGTGGTTGCGGAGATAATGAAAGTACGAAAGGCCCGCAATTTTCTGAGAAAATTTGCGGCCCTGGAATCGCCTAAGTAGGTTTCGCTGAACATGGCCGTCTCCATTGAGCTGTTAATGAAATTAAACATGGGGGAGGCGAGAAAACCTACCAACAATACGCTGTAAAGCATTAGTATTTCTATGATAAGCATCCATTCAAAAGAAATACTCTCGCTTGGCTGGAACGGAGCTAGGGACGGCGGTGGCGCGGACGCCGCGGACATGGCTAATGGTGCGTCAGTGTGCGCGCGAGAGAGATGACTTGCGTTGAGTTGACTTGGATCCAGTTCTAAATACAGGTTACCAACTCCTTATCCTGTATTATTTATTTTATTATTCTTTTAAAAAAATCCATTATTGTCTTGGTTTATTTTTAAACCCATTCAATTAAAAACTATTCATACACCCAACGTACCCAACCTGATTTAATTTTAGACCAAGTCACAGCATTTCATCCATATTTTTGGTATAGCTCTTATTTATGACCAAAAAGACGATGAATTACCAGCCCCCCCCCCCCGCCCGCGCCCCCCCCCCCCAAACAACAAAAAAAAAAAAAAAAAAACTCATTCTCTCTTAAAAACAACCTTCCAAGAAAAAAAATTCATCTCCTTGTACTTGGTGTTAAAATGTAGCTAGGCTTATCTTGTTTTCCTTTGTTTTAGTCTCACATGCGTAGAAAACTAGAACATCTCCCTTTACTATTGTATAAGCAGTTCAATGAAATGAATAATACTATCTTTCTCTTCCCAAAAAAATTATTCTTATCATGAATAAGTTTGTCTCCTTTCTTCTGAATAGCTCTATTGCTCCAATACTATCTTAAGTTAAATAACTTAATCATTACATAAAAACTCCGAAGTTGTGATGATGATTGAGGGTTATATTTTTATATCCTAACAGCGCCAAATCAACAAACTCAAGTGACAATTAGAAATATATTTGCATCAATATTCTGAAATGGCTTTCACTCTAAGACAAATATTTTGAAAATGTAAAGAATATTAAGCTTTACATCAGTATATAGCATCCAATTCTCCGCTGAAACTGCTTTCTTTTTAGGCGTACATAAAAACTCGGAAGTTGTGATGATAATTGAGGGTTATATTTTTACATTCTGGCAGCTCCAAATCAACAAACTCAAGTCACAATTAGAAATATATTTGCATCAATATTCTGGAACGGCTTTCACTCTAAAGCAAATATTTTAAAAAGGTGAAGAATATGTGAGTGGGGGCCACTTGTGCGTGTGAGGTGTTCTCGTGAACACTCAAAGACTCACGTGAATGATGAGCCAGCGAAAAAGCCAGCAGACAAAAATCACTAAGCCCATGCGGAAACCCACAGGCCCACCCGATTTTCAACTGTATAAATATCAATGTGCAGTTCCCTAGGGTTTTTTGGTGCAAGGACGTAGCAGGTTGAGGGGTTCCTGGCGGCAGCAAAAGCAAGTGCGAAGGAGTCATTTGTTTTTCTTTTCTTTCGGCGGCTGCACAGTAGCAAGGTTGGCGGCTGTGCAAAAACAGTGCTAGGCAGAGCGGAGAAAAAGAGAAAAGTCAGCGGCTTTGGCTTCGTGCAAACAGGCTTTTGTGTATCCCCTTTGAGAGATTATTTGTGCGAGGGATTTGAGAGTTTGTGTGAGGGTTTAGATTGAGTGATTGTAAACCCCAGTTGTATCTCTCCCTCTAATAGTAGATCTCCCCCTCCTTGCCCCGTGGACGTAGGCAGTTTGCCGAACCACGTAAAATTTGTGTTCTTGCCGTGATTTGTAATAGCTTGTAGGATCCCTCGACGCGCAGTCTTAGAGCTGACGAGAGGAAGAGCTGATATCTCACTTCGATGAGATATCTGGCTTTTTGATTCTTGTTTCCTTTGAGAAACGAGAATTTCATTGTGATCTAATCTCTTGTTGTGCACCTTGCGCACCGGAGGTGCTGCCGAAATTTCCGCTGCGCACAACAAGTGGTATCAGAGCTCCGGGTTGGACTTGGGAGCTTGTTTGAAGGATTCGCTGAAGGATTCCTATTTGAAGATTAGATCGACAACATGGGTGAAACAAGCACATCGGGATCGTCTCTTACGAAGACGATACATAGTTTGAGCATCAATAACATGAAGATTGATGTTCCGAAGTTCGACGGCAAGATTAACTTTGGATTGTGGAGGTGTCAGGTGATGGACGCCTTGGACGCTCAGAATTTGGAGGAGACTCTTGAGTTACAAGAGAAACCTGCCGAGATGGAAGCTAAGGTTTGGAAGAAGATGAATAGTAGGGCGTGTGGAGTTATTCGGTCATGCTTAACGCCGGATCTTATTTATGACGTGATGAACGAGACGTCGGCGAAGAAGATGTGGGAAACACTCAATGAAAAGTATCTTACTAAGAGCATTGAGAATCGGCTTCACTTGAAGAAGAGGTTTTACCAGTTCAAGATGAAGAGGGGAGTTTCCATTAGGGAGCATGTTAACAACTTCACAAAGCTACTTTCAGACATGGCCAATGTGGATATCATGGTTGAGGATGAAGACAAGGCGATGCTACTTTTGTGTTCGTTGCCCGAGGATGATTATGGTACTTTTGTCCTAACTATGATTAATGGAAGAACTACTGTTAGTTACAAGGAGGTGACCTCAGCGTTAGTGAATTATGAGTTGAGGAAGAGTGTGGATGAGTCCTCCGAGAAGGCATCGAGAGATGCATTAGTAGTTCATG